TGCCTTTTCTGCATCAGTCGATAGATCATGTGGCTCATTTCCTTTTTTTTATTTATATGGTGGATTACATTGATTGTTTTTCTAATGTTGAACCATCCTTGCATCCCTGAATATGAATCCCATTTGGTCATGATGTATTATTTTTTGATGTGTTGTTGAATTCTGTTGGCTAGGATTTTGCTGAAATTTTTGGCATCTTTATTCATGAGGGATAGTGGTTTATAATTTTCTTTCTTAGTGATGTTGTCTTTCCCTGGTTTCAGTATGAGGGTTATGTTGGCTTTATAGAATGTTTTTCGAAGTTTTTCATCCTCTTCTATATTCTAAAATAATTTGAGTAGAATTGGTGACAGCTCTTACCTGAATGTTTGGTAAAACTCACCAGTGAAGCCGTCTGGACCTGGGCTTTTTTTGGTGGGGAGTTTTTTGATGACCTGATCAATTTCTTCCTTTGTTATAGGTCCTTTCAAGTTTTTTACTTCACTCTGTGAAAGTTTAGGAAGGTTGTGCTTTTCTAAAAATGCATCCATCTCTTCTAACTTTTCAAATTTGTTGGAGTACAACTCTTCATAATATTCTGTTATTATCCTTTTTATTTCTATTGCTTCTGTTGTGACATCGCTCATGTGGTTTCTTATTTATGCATGTTATTTGTGTCGTCTCCCTCTTTTCTTTCATTAAGTTTGCCAATGGTTTGTCAATTTTATTAATCCTTTTGAAGAACCAGCTTCTTGTCCTGTTGATTCTTTTATGACTCTTCTATTTTCTAGCTCATTTATTTCTGCTCTAATCTTTATTATTTCTTTTCTTCTATTGACTGTAGGTTTACTTTCCTGGTCTCTTTCTACTTGTTGGAGATGTTGTATTAATGTGTTGATATTGGTTCTCTCTTCTTTTTTGATGTGTGCATTTAAAGCAATAAATTGTCCTCTCATCACTGCTTTTGCTGTGTCCCAAAGATTTTGTTATGTTCTGTTTTCATTCTCATTTGTTTCTAGGAACTTTGTGAATTCACGTTTTATTTCTACTACTAACTACCCACTAGTTTTTCAGCACAGTTTATTCAGTGTCCATGTATTTGACTTTATTTCCTTGACCTTCCTAGTGTTGATTTCTAATTTGATATCATTGTGGTCTGAAAATATGCTTCATAGTACTTTGATGTTTATAAATTTATGGAGGCTTGTTTTGTGGCCTAACATATGGTCTATTCTGAAGAATATTCCATGTTCACTCAAAAAGAATGTGTATTGTGCTGTTTTAGACTTGTTCTTTTTGGAATTTCATTTTCTTGGATACCTTGGGAAGTATTAATTTTCTTTGTTGTTGTTGTCATTAGGTTCCATTGAATCAATACTGACTCATAGTGACCCTATGCACAACAGAACGTAACACTGCCCAGTCCTGGGCTTACCTTACACAATTTTTGCTACACTTGAGCCCATTGATGCTGCCACTTTGCCAATCCATCTCGCTGGAGGTCTTCCTCTTTTTCTCTAACCCTCCACTTTACCAAACATGATTTCCCTCTCCAGTGACGGGTCCTTCCTGACAAGATGTCCAGAATATGAGAGATGAAGTTTAGCCATCCTGACCTCCAAGGAGCACTCTAGCTGCACTTCTTCTAACACAGATCTGTTCTTTTGGCAGCTCATGGTACTTTAAATATTCTCCTCCAACACCATAACCCAAATGTATCAATTCTTCTACGATCTTCCTTATTCACTACCCAACTTTCACATTCATATGAAGTTATTAAAAAATAGCATGGTTTAGGTCAGACATCTTTGCTCTTCAACACTTTAAAGAGGTCTTGTGCAGCAGATTTGCCTAATGCAATACGTCGTCTGAATTCTTGACTGCTGCTTCCATGAGTGTT